AGAACATATGTGTGGTGGTCTGTAAATAATCGAGTCTGGGCCAGACAATCCAGTGATTGACATCATGAGCATCGATCTACGCAATTGGGATGACATGCATCAACCAAGTCAGCGAGCCTGACCACCCGATCCCGTTAGTCGCCTTTTACGACAAGCATAGTCTCCTTTTACGGCAAGCATGGGTTGCTGAAGACCTATTCTACCCTGGATCTTCCCGGGTCCAGAACATATTTAAAGCAGACAAGGGTTACCTGGGATGTTTAGGACAATGTATTATTTCAGTCTGCGCTTCAAGAGATACAAATGGTAAATCCAGTGTACTAATGAGTGTTTTGCAAAACCCGAGGACACATAAGTGAGTGAGTGAAGGAGTTGGGTTTAACGCCGCTTTTAACATTACTCCAGTTATATCACGGCGTGTCAGCTTAATGTTGGAGGAAAGCCCGAAGTGATGCAGGTCTAAGACGTTTACCACTTCGGTGAAACCCACGAGCACGGGTATGGTGCTGACAAACCTAGAAACATAATTGGGGCGAACCAGGATTCGAACCCACAATCATAGGTTTCTGGCGTGCCCAAGGGACGCAACTCTGCACAGCGAATCGCGGCACCTCAGAAGACTGGGCCACCCCACCCCCCACCCCCCACCCCCACCCCCGGACACATTTCGGGACACACTGTTTCTTATAATGAGGGGCGGTGGGGTAGCATAGTGGCTAATGTGTTCGCTCGTCACGCCGAAGAACCTGGTTCGATTCCCCACATGGGTACAATGTGTTATGCACATTTCTGGTGTCCCCCGCCGTGATATTGCTGGAATATTGCTAAAAGCAGCGTAAAACAACATTCACTCATACACTCTTATAATGAAATTCCCTCACCTACCCACACACCAACACCACCCCTGAATATCGCACAGCCGTCGTGTTGATAACTGTTGTCCCCATTCTAAATGGGATTCCACTAAAATTGAAGGTAATAAAACTTACTTTCAAATGGATCCACTTGCGCTCGCTCCTCCTGCAGTTTTGACACACCAAGTGATGCTGGCGTTCATCCTCTCCGATGCGGCCGGCGTTCCAACTGGAACCACGAGCTGTGATTTATCAATAACTCGCGTCTGTGACAGTAATAGGATCGCAAGCCATCGCACATCATACCGGTGATTAACCTGGCCGAGTACAGCTTCGGCGCCTTCCGGCGAATGACGCGTGGTGAGGTGAAATGGGGTTTGACGTCGCGTTCGAGGTTATAGCACTTATATAGCGTCCTGCATGCACGTGTGTGTGTGTGTGTGTGGCTGCGTGTACTAGTCCGGACTAATGAAGATTTTATAGTGCTTTCCCCAAAGGGACGTCATGCCACATTTTAACATGAATACCCTACATAGACACAGTATACTGACTCCGAGCTGACCAGTCCTTGTTTTATCCCATTAATGCTGAGCGCCAGGCAGGGTAACAACAAGTACCATCTTCTAACGTCTTTTGGTTTGACGGCATCTGCCGATCTTAATGTGCTAGCCCACTGAGATACCATGTCACAGTTTAACATGAATACCCCACTTCAGAAACAATATACTATGACGTCACACGTGACCCGTTTATGAGCGTCTATTCACATAACATACTAATATATCTTGAATATGAGTAATTCTTCATATATCAACCAAAATGTATAGTATTCGCGTTTCTTTTGTTGGTGAATGTATATTAAAACGTTCAAAGAATGCAGTTCGCCATTTATACTTACTAAATTTTAAAAAATTAAACCATACAACTGGTCACCTATTTTGACGATAATTAAGGTAAACATATAAAAAAAAATGCTGATCTCTGACCCACTCCGAACCCCATCCCCCACCCCTGTAAATCAAACAGTTGATTCCTGACAGACATTCTGTGACCACGCCCACTCTGTGACGTCATGCCGCAACAGCGTGGATCGATATTTGTGCATCGTCATCAACTGTGCCCGTTTGTGTGGGATCCACCTCGATAGAGCAGGGTTATTACAGACTGGCACGGACGGACATTTTTCATGCAGTTAGTGATTAAATACTGTAATTTCCTGAAAGATTGAACTTGATCTTTCACTCGAGTGAAACAGCTTTGTGCCGGATTGAACTTGATCTTTCACTCGAGTGAAACAGCTTTGTGCCGGATTGAACTTGATCTTTCACTCGAGTGAAACAGCTTTGTTCCAGATTGAACTTGATCTTTCACTCGAGTGAAACAGCTTTGTGTCGGATTGAACTTGATCTTTCACTCGAGTGAAACAGCTTTGTGCCGGATTGAACTTGATCTTTCACTCGAGTGAAACAGCTTTGTTCCAGATTGAACTTGATCTTTCACTCGAGTGAAACAGCTTTGTGTCGGATTGAACTTGATCTTTCACTCGAGTGAAACAGCTTTGTCTAGGATTGAACTTGATCTTTCACTCGAGTGAAACAGCTTTGTGGCGGATTGAACTTGATCTTTCACTCGAGAGAAACAGCTTTGTGCCAGATTGAACTCGATCTTTCACTCGAGTGAAACAGCTTTGTGTCGGATTGAACTTGATCTTTCACTCGAGTGAAACAGCTTTGTGTCGGATTGAACTTGATCTTCACTCGAGTGAAACAGCTTTGTGCCGGATTGAACTTGATCTTTCACTCGAGTGAAACAGCTTTGTGGCGGATTGAACTTGATCTTTCACTCGAGAGAAACAGCTTTGTGCCAGATTGAACTTGATCTTTCACTCGAGTGAAACAGCTTTGTGCCGGATTGAACTTGATCTTTCACTCGAGTGAAACAGCTTTGTGCCGGATTGAACTTGATCTTTCACTCGAGAGAAACAGCTTTGTGCCGGATTGAACTTGATCTTTCACTCGAGTGAAACAGCTTTGTGCCAGATTGAACTTGATCTTTCACTCGAGTGAAACAGCTTTGTGCCGGATTGATCTTGATGTTTCACTCGAGTGAAACAGCTTTGTGCCAGATTGAACTAAATCTTTCACTCGAGAGAAACAGCTTTGTTCCAGATTGAACTTGATCTTTCACTCGAGCGAAACAGCTTTGTGCCGGATTGAACTTGATCTTTCACTCGAGTGAACAGCTTTGTGTCGGATTGAACTAGATCTTTCACTCGAGTGAAACAGCTTTGTGCCGGAGTGAACTTGATCTTTCACTCGAGTAAAACAGCTTTGTGCCGGATTGAATTTGATCTTTCAGTTCACAGCTTTGTGCCGGATTGAACTTGATCTTTCACTCGAGTGAAACAGCTTTGTGCCGGATTAAACTTGATCTTTCAGTTCACAGCTTTGTGCCGGATTGAACTTGATCTTTTTTTGAGCGAAACAGCTTTGTGCCGGATTGAACTTGATCTTTCACTCGAGTGAACAGCTTTGTGTCGGATTGAACTTGATCTTTCACTCGAGTGAAACAGCTTTGTGCCGGATTGAACTAGATCTTTCACTCGAGTGAAACAGCTTTGTGCCAGATTGAACTTGATCTTTCACTCGAGTGAAACAGCTTTGTCTAGGATTGAACTTGATCTTTCACTCGAGTGAAACAGCTTTGTGCCGGAGTGAACTTGATCTTTCACTCGAGTAAAACAGCTTTGTGCCGGATTGAATTTGATCTTTCAGTTCACAGCTTTGTGCCGGATTGAACTTGATCTTTCACTCGAGTGAAACAGCTTTGTGCCGGATTGAACTTGATCTTTCAGTTCACAGCTTTGTGCCGGATTGAACTTGATCTTTCACTCGAGTGAACAGCTTTGTGTCGGATTTAACTTGATCTTTCACTCGAGTGAAACAGCTTTGTGCCGGATTGAACTAGATCTTTCACTCGAGTGAAACAGCTTTGTGCCAGATTGAACTTGATCTTTCACTCGAGTGAAACAGCTTTGTCTAGGATTGAACTTGATCTTTCACTCGAGTGAAACAGCTTTGTGCCGGAGTGAACTTGATCTTTCACTCGAGTAAAACAGCTTTGTGCCGGATTGAATTTGATCTTTCAGTTCACAGCTTTGTGCCGGATTGAACTTGATCTTTCACTCGAGTGAAACAGCTTTGTGCCGGATTGAACTTGATCTTTCAGTTCACAGCTTTGTGCCGGATTGAACTTGATCTTTCAGTTCACAGCTTTGTGCCGGATTGAACTTGATCTTTCACTCGAGTGAAACAGCTTTGTGCCGGATTGAACTTGATCTTCCACTCGAGTGAAACAGCTTTGTGCCAGAACTACTTTCAGGCTGCCTCAATGACGCGCTGGTTTTCGGAGAAAGATGGCGGTAAACAGTCAGAACATAAATAATAAAGAGATCATTTCTTGGTTGCTCATCTCATCTCATCTGGCCCGCTTATGAAAATATTAACTTTGTCACGTCACTCAATGAAGTTGGTTGCGGTGACCGTATCGCTGTACTGTCGGGGGGGGGGGGGGGGGGGGGGGGGGGGGGGGCACGGGTGGCCCAGTGGTCTAAGGCGCCGCTATTCGCTGTGCAGAGTTGCGTCCCTTGGGCACGCCAGAAACCTATGATTGGGGCTTTCCTCCCACATTAAGCTGACACGCCGGGATATAACTGGAATACTGTTATAAGCGGCGTTAAACCCAACTCACTCACTCATAGACACGTCAATATCAGAATCGTTTTCAGGGAGCAGCACTGAGGTACGGTTGCCGCAGCTATAGATAAAGTATACGTGTTATTTGACGAGAAAACAGAAATATTCTCTATTTATTTACTGATTAAATCCATCATTTTCCGTAATTCAGGCTATTTACGTTTGAAGTCATAATGTAGCCGTCATATTGATGATACGAATTTGTAATGAAATCATTGCCGAAATCCTTAAAGGGCAGAACTACCGGAAATGATAGAAAAAAAGCTATTTCCCGTTAAAACAAGGTTGGGTGAGGAAGAGAATGTATGGTTGTCAACTTCTTTATTATGAGGAACACAACGTTTCGGGGTATATGCTTACTCCTTCTTCAGGTGAATGAATGCCATGATTGACTGACTGACTGATGTAGGAGATTTAACGTGCGCTTTCCGACTGTAGCGTATTTCGCACACGGGCCTGGCCGGACCATTTAGTGCATTGCGAAAAGGGTGAAAGTGGTGTGTGCAACCCAAGAGGGAGCTTTTAGGGGTTGCTTATATTGAATTTTTGGAATTTTTAAATTTGGAATAAATGCCGAGGTGGGTGGAGGAGGGAACTAAGGGAGCCGGGTGAGGTGGGTGTTTGTATGTTTATTGGATTTTGGATTGGTAGATTAATTAGTTTTTAATGCCATGAGGCAGAGAGCGTATTTATGTACAGGTAAGGACAACACAATTAATAAGATAACAATAGACGGAAAATAACAAAAGGTAGAAACTAACAAGGGAAGCCAAAAGATGATTAGCGCTGATAGGTGATTAGCAAAAGGCACTTAAGTTATCATAGATAAGTCATTGGTAATGGACACGGCAAACGAGGGTAGGGCAAATTGAAGCCAGCTAGGTGATTAGCCTCGGCAAACATCAAAGCAATAAGTCCCAAGCACTTTCAAAGCATCTTTCAAAAACCTGAAGATGGTATGTTTCACAGATCGATGCTATTGAAATACAGAGTAATTCCCGATCGACCTACCTGGGTTTGTAGTATTTCAATCACAAGGAACCCCATCCACAAGTTTACAGAAGATTTAACGAAAAATGAAAGTTCGGATTTAGTCCTTTAAGGGGAGTATGAAACGAACTACAGAAATATGCGCGTGCGACTCCGTTGTGATGATAATAAAAATAATAAAGTCTTCATAAAAATCTAATCCACCAAAAACAAAGTCAATTTGAGAAGCTTCTGAACATCATAGAAAATTTCAAAATGATGCTGCTGGGGCTGGGACGAGTCCAAATTTATTACCCGGGTACCCACTGTAGGTCTCAAGAGATAGGTAAAACATGTCCGATTGGGAATAGTTTGACCGTACTCCTGTCAAAATAAATTTAGATACACGTATAATCCAATCTGGTCATGCATACACCGACGTTGACCGATGTTTTCTCATTATGCAAACATATAAGATCAGAAGGAATGTGTGCAAAGTCAGAAAGAAATGTGAACATTTATCACTTATAGTGTAACCATAGAGTTCTAGATAATTTTTGCCATTAAACAATATAATCACGTGACTAACCACGGGTCCGGGTAGTCCTGGGGGTACCCGGGTTCTACGGGTCCGGGTAGTCCTGTGGGTATCCGGGTCCTACTCAGTACTCACCCGACCCGGGTACCCGAGTTACCCGGCCTAGCCCTAGATCATGCTGCATTTGTTTTGTCAACAGTGATCCCATGACGCGTGTCATATCACATCTGCATTGCCATGGCCGTGATACACGACAGGGAGTCGGTACTAGGAGTGAGTGAGTATTGTTTTACGCCGCTTTTAGCAATATTCCAGCAATATCACGGCAGGGGACACCAGAAATGGGCTTCACACATTGTACCCATGTCGGGAATCGAACCCGGGTCTTCGGCGTGACGAGCGAACGCTTTAACCACAAGGCTACCCGACCGCCCCCGGTACTAGGAAATGTTTACAAGTTCTTTACACTTCAGAGAGATAGTAGTAAACAATATATTAGTTTAGATATATTATTATATTATTTAGTTTAGTGTAATACCGAACTGCCCAAGCTCTGGTCTTTCACACCAACAAATCTACAGTATAATAATTAAGACAAAGAAGGCAGGGGTCGTCTCAAAATCAAGAAGCATAATTAATGTTTACCGTATTACATTAGACACATGAGTGAGTGAGTATGGTTTTACGCCGCTTTTAGCAATATTCCAGCAATATCACGGCGGGGGACACCAGAAATGGGCTTCACACATTGTACCCATGCCGGGAATCGAACCCGGGTCTTCGGCGTGACGAGCAAACGCTTTAACCACTAGGCTACCCGACCGCCCCACATTAGACATTGTAATCGTGTCATTGTTTGCAACGCCGCAGCCCTTGATCTTGGGCCTATTGGTGGATGTGAGCTAGATTCGAGGCGAAAACGAAAATTATAGGAACTGAATGGTGCTGTGATCATAGGATGGATGGAACATCAGCTACTGCACAATCTAAATAACACCAGTGTCATTGTCACGCCAATTATCGTAACGTCCGGAACCCAGATACTGTAACGCAAACCATGAACAGTCTGAGTGAGTGAGTGAGTGAGTGAGTTGGGTTTAACGCCGCTTTTAACAGTATTCCAGTTATATCACGGCGTGACATCTTAATGTGGGAGGAAAGCCCGAAGTGATGCAGGCCTCAGACGTTTACCACTTCGGTGAAACCCACGAGCACGGTTATGGTGCTGACAAACCTAGAAACATAATCGCGGCCAACCGGGATTCGAACCCACAATCATAGGTTTCATAGGGACGCAACTCTGCACAGCGAATCGCGGCGCCTTAGACGACTGAGCCACCCGTGGCCCGTGAATAGTCTGAAGGCGACCATGCAGGAATATCTGACATCTAGCAATGTCGACTTTAGACCATCTGAAACGAAAGTTCAACTGATTAAGAAAGTTCGCCTGAATAAGAAACCAGTAAGGTACAAGACATGTGTCCTGGCGGCACAACAGAGTCACGTTGTCTAACGTACGCCATTGTACAGACATTGTGAGCTCAACCCTGTTGAACCTATCTGGGCTAACTGTAAAGTGTTCATGGCAAGACATAACGAAACATTCAAATGGCAAAGGGTTGATAAACGCAGCCTTTGCTAGACCCACTCCAGAGGTACAGTAAAGTACGGTTATAACGAACTACGGTTATAACGAACTCAAATTGACCACCAATTTTAGTTCGTAATAACCGTAGTTCGTTATAAGCATATCTACATCATAATAACAACAAATGTCCGGGACTAAAAAATAAGTTCGTTATATCCGTCAGTTCGTTATAAGCGTGTTCGTTATAACCGTAGTTTACTGTATTGCCAAAAGCTGAAGATCACTTCTTGAGGTGAGGTGAAATTGGGTTAACGTCGCGTCCAAGATTATTGCACTTATATAGCGACGTGCATGCACGTGTATGTGTGTGTGGCTGCTTGTACTAGTCCGGACTGATGCCGATTTATAGTGCTAGCTCACTGAGATACCATGGCGCAGTTTAACATGAATACCCCACTCAGACACAGTATACTGACTCCGAGCCGACCAGTCCTTGTTTTAGCCCCTTAATGCCGAGCGCCAGACAGGGTAACAACAAGTACAATCTTTTAACGTCTTTTTGTATGACGCGGCCCGTGATCGAACCCTGGACCTTCCGCTCTCCGGGCGGACGCTCTACCACAAGACCACGGAGGCGGTCCACTTCTTGAGACAGAACGTCGGTACCGTCAACATGACGACAGGATGCCAGCCTTGCTGCACCAGTAATCATACCCTTGGGTGACAGTACAGATTCAGATACGTCATCAGCTGAGTCAATTCAATTCTATTCTTTATTGCATGAAAGGCCACAGGCCCATAAACAACGGAGTTACATAACATATTTTATAAGATACAAAGTCAAGGTAACAATTCACTTAGGCCAAAAACACATGATGTATGTACTAAGCCAGTTGATGTTGTGTTAGAAGATCCTTGCAGGACAGTAATGGATACAATCTTATAGCATTAAAATGAGATAAAGACCACTGCGGTAAGTACTTGTTTCTTAGACTTTCGTATATAGCGCAAATAAACATAAAATGGTATTCATCTTCGACAACAATGTCACAGAATGGGTATAACCTTAGAGATTTCTCAATAGATGAAAATCTCCCTGTGTTAATTTTTAGATCATTCCGGACAAGTCTGAAACGAATAATGGTGTTACGAAAATTCCTGTACCGTAAGTTTGATAAGTAAGATTCTGGTTCGAGCAATGACTTGAACTGGCGATAAGTATCATATCTTGAACTTTCGTATATATCTGAATGCCATTTTCTGATGAAACATGTTAATGGCACGCATGTGAAAGTACTTAATGAAAATATTTGCGTTACCAATTGTCTGGGACAGCCAAATGAAACCAAAGCCATATGTAAAAAGCAATGTACGTATGCAAGAAGCCCATGTGTTCTTTCCAAGACTATCGAGGTGTACGAGCATGTTGTAGGCTTTCTTAGGTAAACGGTGTTCAGGCATAATTATTAATTTACACCAATACTTCAAGCAACGAGTGTAAGCTATAATGTACAATGGGAAACTCCCGCATTCTGCATAAACCATATTACTTGGTGTTGACATACCAACATTCAAAAACTTTTTACAAGCGAGAAGACGAACCTTTTCAATTGTATAGAACTCATTACAACCCCATATCTCAGACCAATATAGTAAAGTAGGTTGTATTGAGAATAAAATAATTTCAAATACATTTTCGGTGAAATAACTCCAAACTTAGAGATAACAGAGTGGACTTGTAACAGAGCTTTCTTTGCTCTGTTTGTGAGATTAATTACTGACTTATTCAGATTCAGCGTATGGGTAAACAATATGCCAAGGCATTTGGAGGTGAGGTGAAATTGGGTTTAACGTCGCGTCCAAGATTATTGCACTTATATAGCGACGTGCATGCACGTGTATGTGTGTGTGTGGCTGCTTGTACTAGTCCGGACTGATGCTGATTTATAGTGCTAGCTCACTGAGATACCATGCCGCAGTTTAACATGAATACCCCACTCAGACACAGTATACTGACTCCGAGCCGACCAGTCCTTAATTTTAGCCCCTTAATGTCGAGCGCCAGACAGGGTAACAACAAGTACAATCTTTTAACGTCTTTTTGTATGACGCGGCCCGGGATCGAACCCTGGACCTTCCGCTCTCAGGGCGGACGCTCTACCACTAGACCACGGAGGCGGTCCCAAGGCATTTGGAATCATTCACAACATTAATACATTTATCTTTAAAAAAAACATTTCTCTCTTGCTGCCACTCGACCACCTCTAAGAAATATAACAATGTTTGATTTATCAAGATTAACACTAAGTTTCCATTTATCTGAATATTATGATAGTATATCAAACATCAAATGCTTCTTGATTACAAAATCCCAGAGACCGCCTCCGTGGTCTCCGTGGTCTAGTGGGGTTCGATCCCCGGCCGCGTCATACCAAAAGACGTTAAAAGATGGTACTTGTTGTTACCCTGTCTGGCGCTCGGCATCAAGGGGCTAAAACAAGGACTGGTCGGCTCGGAGTCAGTATACTGTGTCTGAGTGGGGTATTCATGTTAAACTGCGGCATGGTATCTCAGTGAGCTAGCACTATAAATCAGCATCAGTCCGGACTAGTACAAGCAGCCACACAAACACACACACGTACATGCAGGTCGCTATATATGTGCATAAATCTTGGACATGACGTTAAACCCAATTTCACCTCACCTCCAAAATCCCAGCCTTCTAATACTCATCCCGTTTGTTTTCATAGCCGTTAACTATTCCATCATATTTTCAAACAAATAAAGTGCACCACATACCTTAATTGCTACCCCCTCAATGCATATCTCGATAAAGTACAATAATAGCAATATTTTGAGACCACCCCCAACTCGGTGACATTTGCACCTGTGAGAATACACGGGCCGGTGTGAGGTTTGATATATGCCTTTCTCATAGCTCTATGATTTGTAATTATTAAATGAAGCCAGATAAAAAAACACATTTTTCCATTTTTTCCGGTAGTACTTTAAGGTAAACTAAAAAAACTCGATCAAAAGACGAAGTTCCGGAGTACAGCTGCACCCGGCTGAAGAAAGTCGCATGTTTTTATTTTCTGCAGGGTTTGCACGGGTTTCCATCCGGGCATCTCGGGCACGCGCTGCACGCATTTACCCGGTCGACGCGCAGACGACATTGCTGCATTTGGTTGGATTGTGAGTGTTTGTGAGTATCGAAAACCTTCCGTTGTTGTTCATTCGCCAAATGTTCCACTTGTTTGATGTTTGAGGTAATACTTTCGTCCAATTTCAAATGCTTCTGTTTCAGTATCGCCTTGACGTGATGTGAATCGCTACTGATCAAGTTTTTTTATTCGGTTCCGGCTTAGAATTGCGTTCATATAATTTTAGTATCATGTATCGTCAAGTAAAAGTAACTTGTCTCTCAAGTTTTCGTATTATAAGCTACCTTGGGCACATAAAAAAACGTATAATCGTGGGCTCGAATCTAGGTTTGCCAGCACCATACCCGTGCTCGTGGGTTTCACCGAAGTGGTAAACGTCTGAGACCTGCATCACTTCTGGCTTTCCTCCCACATAAAGCTGACTCGCCGTGATATAACTGGAATACTGTTAAAAGCGGCGTTAAACCCAACTCACTCATTCACCTTTCGGCTTAACATTAAGCTGACAAGCCGCGAAATAATTGAAATACTAGTAAAGTGGCGTCAATCCAAACGCAGTCCCGCTTTTTGGAAGCACTCAACTCAAAGTCCTGTTCTAAGATTTAACGCCGAATGACCGTCTCCTTGGTCTAATGGGTAGAGCATCTGAGAGCGGAAGTTACCTGAAAATACCTATTTTTCTTTTAGCTGAGCCTGTCAACGTTTCCGACCATGACAGCTGGCTGGTGCTTACTTTCAGTGTTGCTGGTAGGTACAAGAACTTAAGTGTGTTAGAGCCTGTCAGTCGCCACGATCTGGTCGGTTCAAATTCCAGATTTGCAAAGATAATTCTTGGTTTGTCGGCACCATACCCGTGCCCGTGGGTTTCAGTTGTAAACGCCAAGAAGCTGCGTTACTTTAGGGTTCCAGATATGGTAATTTGTATTTATTGCTTAACGCCGCTCTCGGCAATATTCAAGCTATATGACGGCGGGGCGGTCGGGTACCCTAGTGGTTAAAGCGTTCGCTCGTCACGCCGAAAACCCGGGTTCGATTCCAGACATGGGTACAATGTGTGAAGCTCATTTCTGGTGTCCCCCGCCGTGATATTGCTGAAATATTGCTAAAAGCGGCGTAAAACCATATTCACTCACTCACTCAAGCTATATGACGGCCGTCTGTAAACAATCGAGTCTGGACCAGACAATCCAGTGATTGAAATCATGAGCATTGATCCACGCATTTAGGATACGATGACATGCATCAAACAAAGTCAGCGAGTCTGACCACCCAAACCCGTTAGTCGCCTTTTACGGCAAGCATGGGTTGCTGAAGCTCTATTCTACCCCGGATCTTCACGGGTCGTTTTAGGCCATGAAATAACTGGTATACAGCTCATAGAGGCGTTGCGAACTGCCCTTGGGAGGTTTTTTGTCATTTCAAAAAAGTGCAATGTTATGGTCCAGACATCTAAAACAGTTTTCCTAGAGAGTCGAAGGTGGGTGGTTCAATACACCGTCGCGTCATACCAGAACACAATTGTTTCTTCATAATAAAGATGTTGACATCCATACATTCTCTTCCTTTTGTTCCAAAGACACTTTCAATTTCGTAGAACTTTCATTTCAAATTAATAGAAGTAAAGACGCATGAACTTTGTCATCAAACATGAATTTCTCTATAGAGACCCTTAGGTGTGGACCCGTGAAGATTCCGGGGTAGAATAGGTCTTCAGCAACCCATGCTTGTCGTAAAAGGCGACTAACGGGATCGGGTGGTCAGGCTTGCTGACTTGGTTGATGCATGCCATCGATCCAAATTGCGTGGATCGATGCTCATGATATCAATCACTGGATTGCCTGGTCCAGACTCGATTATTTTACAGACCGCCGTCATATAGCTGGAATATTGCTGAGTGCGGCGTTAAACAACAAACCAACCAACCAACCCTTAAGTGTGCATACGGTTCGCATAAAAGCACCCACAAGGTTGATCAGTTACGGAGTCTACCTCCCATTCTACTGGCAGATGTGTCAACACAGCGTACAATCTCTGCACTGAAAATGAATTCGCAACTATACTTGAAATTTGGTGGTGCGAAACATCTGACAAGATGTGTATTGACTGAACACAAAGTAAGAACGTCAGTATTTTGGAATATTTTTTATGAAATTGTCTGCTCAGTCTTTCTTCACTTGGGCGGTCGGGTAGCCTAGTGGTTAAAGCGTTCGCTCGTCGCGCCGAAGAACCGGGTTCGATTCCCCACATGGGTATGAAGCCCATTTCTGGTGTCCCCTGTTGTGATATTGCTGGAATATTGCGAAAGGGTCGTAAACCAATACTCGTTGGATGATTGCGTCGCACGTTGCTCATAATATCAATCACTTGTTTGTCGTAACCACAGTGGATTATTTACACGCCGCCGTCATATAATTTGACTGTTGCCAAGTGTGAAATGAAACAAACATCCAAATATCAATGCGTCGGCACACATAAATAAATTAATAAATGAAGGTCGCCTTCGTGGTTTAGTGGATAGAGGGCCTCGCAAGAGATCGGAAGGTTGGTGGTTCGATCCCCGATCACGTCACACCAAAATACGATTTGAAATAGTACTTGTTGTTACCATGCCTGGCGCTTGACATTAAGGTGATAGAACAAAGACTGGTCGGCTTGGAGTCTGCACAGTGTCATCCTTGGTATCCATGTTAAACCGCGGCATGGTATCTCAGTGGGTCAGAACCATAAAACGGGACAAGTACAAGCACACGAACGCACGTCGCTGAATAAGTGAATTAATCTTGAACGCGAGGTTAAACCTCATTTCACCTTGTCTTGTACAGTAACACGCTGCAGACACGTGAAGATCCGGGGTAGAGTAGGCCTTCAGCAACCCATGCTTGCCGTAAAAGGCGACCTTGCTTGTCGTAAGAGGCGACTAACGGGATCGGGTGGTCAGGCTTAGTCATTTGGTTGATGCGTGACATGGTATCCCAATTGTGTAGATCGATGCTTATGTCAGTCACTGGATTGTCTGATCCAGACTCGATTATTTACAGACCGCCGTCATATAGTTGGAATATTGCTGTGTGCAGCGTTAAACTACAAACACAGCTGCACATATACACCTTGCCAAAAGATACGCACCACCAAGAGATGGGTGAGCTGGAAAGCGAAACAAAAGCGATCAAAAGTGTCGCTTAATGTCAAATAAGATGCTAAATTTATTAATACCCTATACATGTTAAACTCCGGTATGGTAACTCGGCTAGCGCGATAAGTCCGGGCTAGTACAAGCTTATGTTCATGCACGTCACGACCGCCTACGTGGTCTAATGGTAGAGCGGAAGGTCCGGGATTCGATCCCCGACCGCGTCATACCAAAAGACGTTAAAACATGATACTTGTTGTTACCCTGTTTCGCGCCGCATTAAGGGGCTAAAACAAGGACTGGTCGGCTCGGAGTCAGTATACTGTGTCTGAGTGGGGTATTCATGTTAAACTGCAGCATGGTATCTCAGTGAGCTAGCACTATAAATCGGCATCAGTCCGGACTAGTACAAGCAGCCACACACTCACACACACGTACATGCACGTCGCTACATAAGTGCAATGATACTGGATGCGACGGTAAACATCGTTTACCTACCACTACTTATTCTGTATGTTCTGCTTGTTGCAGGGTGTAACTACAGCGGCAATACCTAAAGGATATCACTTGCAAGGTGAGTAGTTCGCAATAAGTCATGGCAGCACCGGACCCGTGAAGATTCCGGGGTAGAATAGGTCTTCAGCAACCCATGCTTGCCGTAAAAGGTGACTGTTCATGTCGTGAAAGGCGACTAACGGGATCGGGTGGTCAGGCTCGCCGACTTGGCTTGGTGCATGTCGTCGATCCTAATTGGGTGGATCGATGCTCATGATATCAATCACTGGATTGTCTGGTCCAGACTCGATTATTTACAGACCGCCGTCATATAGCTGGAATATAGCTGAGTGCGGCGTTAATCAACAAACCAACCAACCAACCAACCATGTTAAAAAGAGGATATGACCCTGAGATATTGCTCACGTGGACATTAAACTCACTGACGGTTTGGGCAGCTTTGTTGTTGGAAGCTTCGCTCGTCACGCCAAATGCCCTGGTTTGATTCCCCACATGGTTTCTGTGTGGAATATTGCTTAAAGCTGCGTAAACCAACCAACCATGGCATCACCGGGGAGGTGGGGTAGCCGATTGGTGAAAGCGTTCGCTCGTCACGTCGAAGACCAGGGTTCGATTCCCCACATGGGTACAATGTGTGAAGCCCATTTCTGGTGTCCCCCGCCGTAATATTGCTAGAATATTGCAAAAGCAGCTTTAACCGATACTCATTCACTCATGCCATGTGAAATATCGACGTTATCCTTAAAAGGGGACAATTAAAATGTTAAAGTACTATCGGAAATGCTAGAAAGGACTATAAAAAGAGCATATATCAAAATAACGCGAATTGCCCTAATCTAGCCTGTCCCAACTGACACTGTGATTACCCTTAAAATGTACTTTTACAGGTAAAATGATGATCAACTTAGACATTATTCGTGTGTTGTCATGCATGTATGAAATAATAACCTGAGGTAATTACCTAACACCTGTCCCGAGGTGATGACCTCACGCCGTCCCGTGCATTCTCCCAGGTCCAAATGTCATCGAGTTGGGGGCGGTCTCAAAATATTGCTGTTATTGTACTTAATTGACATGTGCGTTGATGGGGTAGCAATTTAGGATATGTACTGCATTATATTTGTTTTGAAACATGATGGAACAGTTACGAGCTGTGAAACAGGATGAGTATTGGAAGGTTGCGGTTTTGTAAATCCAGAAGTATTTGTTCTACAGATGAATTCTTGGGGTAGCATTTATCTCCGCTGATGACGTATATGAATCTGTACTTTTGAATGTTGTGTTATGTCTTGCCTAGAACTCATTGCACTTAGCCAAGATGGACACAACAGGGTTGAGCTCACAATGTCTTGACTGGCGTACGTACGACAACGTGGCCGTGTTGTGCCGCCAGCACATATGTCTTGTACTTTACAGGGTTCTTATTCAGCCGAATTTTCTCCATGAGTAGAACGTTCGTTTCAGTTGGTCTGAAGTCGACAATGTCATTTTCCTGTATGATGGCCTTCAGACTAATGGTTTGGGCGACAGTATCTGATTCGTTATATTAACTGGCGTTATCCATGACAATGACACTGACGTTGTTTAAAATGGGCAATAGCTGAAGTTCCAACCAGTCCATGAAAACATCACCTCCTATAATTTCCTTATGATAATCACCAGTTTTCTTTTTCGCCACGAAAACTAGCGCACACCCATCAATAAGCCCCATATCATGGGTTGCAGCTTGCAAAACAATGACACGATTACCTTTACCTGATGGTACCATGGGTGCTTTTTGTCCATCTGCCGATAGCCACATGTAGTCAGTGGAATGATTCACCAAGGTAAATTTTCTGGCCCCCCTGACTGATAGTTATGAATGATTCGGAGATAATGTGACCTCATAGACAGGATGGAATACTTTCCCCTGAAAGGTGCTCGGTCATCGCCACGCGCAGTGTATCGAAATCCCATCTCTTGGAGGGCAATAGTTAGTGCAGTTAACACTAATTGTATCTTTGATTCCTCCCAAATTCTACTACAAATCAGGATTACCTTCTTCCCATAAAGCTTGTACACTATACGTTTGTATCAAAGCTGTCTAATATCCTTTTACGTCCCCGTTTCCTTTTTGAGACCACCCCTATACCTGTTTTGTTTTATTTATCATACCGTAGACTTGATGGTATGAATTGAAAACCCAATAGCTAGGGCAGTTCGGTAATTCACCCTATCTAAATTAATAAATGGTTTCCCTCTATCTCTCTAAAGTGTAAAGAACTTGTATACATTTCCCAGCACAGACTCCATATCGTGTACCATGGTTATGGCTATGCAATGTAATGTAACATGCATCATGGGAGCAATGTTAACAAAACAAACGCAGCGTCATTTTGTCATTTTAGAAGATGCATATCTAGAATTTTCTCAATGATTTTTGTGTGTGGATTAGATGTTTTATGAAGACTACATTTTGGTCATTTTAACGGTGTCACTTCCTGTTTTTGTTCGAATTTGTCTCCTGTAAACTTGTCGATAGGACTCCTTGTGACTGAAATACTTCAAACCACAGGTAGGTGGATCGGTAGTTAATCGATATTTCAATAAGTCTGTGAAAAACTATATCCTTTTTTAACAGGCAAAAAGCAGTTTTCTAGCATTTCCGACAGTACTTTTAATATTTTTGTTGGTTGGTTAGAATTGACTTATTGAATCATAATTTTATCCTCGATTTAAAAAAATGGATTGCTATTTTTACCAATCTTTCAGAAAATAACTTTATTTTCCTGAAAACTGATAATTTTAATACAAAATATGAGACGCTGCCTCTTATCAAAGATGTGTATAAAGTATCCGTTGCATCCTTTATCAGTTCTTGACTCGACCCGTGAACATCTCGGTTACAATAGGTCTTCAGCAACCCATGCTTGCAGTAAAAGGCGACTATGCTTGTCGGGAGAGGCGAGCAACGGGATCGGGTGGTCAGGCTCGCTGACTTGGATGATGCATGTCATCGTATCCCAATTGCGTGGATCGATGCTCATGATGTCAATCACTGGATTGTCTGGTCCAGCCTCGATTCCTTACAGACCAGACCCGTGAAGATTCCGGGGTAGAATAGGTCTTCAGCAACCCATGCTTGCAGTAAAAGGCGACTATGCTTGTCGGGAGAGGCGGGGATCGGGTGGTCAGGCTCGCTAACTTGGTTGATGCATGTCATCGATCCCAATTGCGTGGATCGATGCTCATGATGTCAATCACTGGATTGTCTGGTCCAGACTCGATTCCTTACAGACCAGACCCGTGAAGATTCCGGGGTAGAATAGGTCTTCAGCAGCCCATGCATGCCGTAAAAGGTGACTATGCTTGTCGTAAAAGGCGACTTACGGGATCGGGTGGTCAGGCTCGCTGACTCGTTGTCATCGATCCCAATTGCGTGGATCGATGCTCATGATATTAATCACTGGATTTTCTGGTCCAGACTCGATTATTTACAGACCGCCGTCATATAGCTTGAATATTGCTGAGGGCGGCGTAAAGCAACAAACACTGCTTAAAGGGGCGTTAAACCCAACTCATCCCCCCACTGTTTCAGTGACGCCTCTATGTGGAACCAGTATAGACAAAGGAGCCATTGTCACCATCAGGACAGACCTGGACGTGTACGCCAATGCCTTTTGCCAGGATCAAACGCCTGTCGAATTCGATAACGTGGACAGTGCAACTTTCAGCCTTGACCTATCCTATCCTGGAAGCAAATCGCCCAAGGACTGCGTATTTAGGGTAAATAAGTGTCAATGTTTAACGCTGTACCGGCTTTGTTTTCCGTCATATAGCGAAGGGTGGAATGAAAAGCCCCTTTTTCCGACCCCGACCCCGACTGCCTCCATGGTCTAGTGGTAGAGCGTTCGCCCAGAGAGCGGAAGGTCCGGGGTTCGATCCCCGGCCGCGTCATACCAAATATGGCGAAGGGTAGAATGAAAAGCCCCTTTTTCCGACCCCGACCCCGACTGCCTCCGTGGTCTAGTGGTAGACCGTTCGCCCAGAGAGCGGAAGGTCCGGGGTTCGATCCCCGGCCGCGTCATACCAAAAGACGTTAAAAGATGGTACTTGTTGTTACCCTGTCTGGCGACCGGCATTAAGGGTCTTAAACAGGGACTGGTCGGCTTGGAGTCAGTATACTGTTTCTGAGTGGGGTATTCATGTTAAACTGCAACATTGTATCACAGATTGTATCTAGCAGTATAGATAGTGCAAGTAGACGCACGCACGCACGCACGTACGTCGCTATATAAGTGCAATAATCTTGGACGCTACGTAAAACCCCATTTTACCTTACCTACATCCGACCCGTGAAGATCGGGGTTAAAATAGGTGTTCAGCAACCTATGCTTGGAAGAGGCAACTATTGGATCGGGCGGTCAGACTCGCTGACTTGGTTGATACATCGTATCCCAATCGTGTGGATGGATGCTCATGTCAATCACTGGATTGTCTGCCACGGTCTGTATCATTTCCCGACCACCATCATATAGCTGTAATATGCTCAGTGCTGCGTTAAGCAGCAAACAGTATAAGGTCGTATGATCACATTCATCATCGACCCGTGAAGATTCCGGAGTAGAATAGGTCTTCAGCAACCCATGCTTGCCGTAAAAAGCGACTAACGGGATCGGGTGGTCAGGCTCGCTGACTTGGTTGATGCATGTCATCGATCCCAATCGGGTGGATCGATGCTCATGATGTCAAACACTGGATTGTCTAGTCCAGACTCGATTATTTACAGACCGCCGTCATATAGCTGGAATATTGCCGAGTGCGGCGTAAAACTACCAACCAACCAATCACATTGATCATCAAAATGAAAGTTTTCTTATTTGTCATTGCGCAGAAACGGAAAGGCGTCGACGTGTTTTTTATCCGTGTAATCGTCTCCTTTGGCGAGAAGGGCGCCGAAATACACACAGAGGAAGAAATGTTTACCGTTACCTGTACCTTCGACCCGAAAGGGTCGAAAATCAGCGGGAAGAAATTTGTTAAAGGAAGGTGAGTGGTACAAGCATCTTGTCTGCTAAACACATACCGCCTCGTGGTCTAGTAGATTCAGAATCTGCTGAGCGGACTATGATGCAGCCTCGTAAGAATTGCATGAAAATTTATGGCTCAGCCGACAACCCCCGTGATGTGCAGGACAGAGCATCTTCCCGAAGAGCGGAAGGTCGTGGGTTCGATCCCCGGCCGCGTCTTGCCAAAGGTCGTGAAAATATATTGCTCTGCCGACCGCGTCCGTGGTGTAGTGGATAGAGCATCTGGAAGGACTGTACTGTCAGTGGGGTATATATGTTGCACAGCGTCATGTTATCTCGGTGGTATGGTACTATAAAATCGGCTTAATCCGCGCTGGTACAGAAACACTTTTCATGCACGCGTCTCTAAGTGCTATAATTTTGAACACTAAAACTTATTCCACCTGATCACATGTGCACCTTTTTTGCGCCATAACCTTGCTGGGACGCGTTGGCCTGATGTTTAAATCCAAGATCAGTAAAAGGCGACTATGCTTGTCGTAAAAGGCGACTAACGGGATCTTGTGGTCAGGCTCGCTGACTTGGTTGATGCATGTCATCGATCCAAATTGCGTGGATCGATGCTCATGATATTATTCACTGTATTGTCTGGTCCAGACTCGATTATTTACAGACCGCCGTCATATAGCTGGAATAATGCTGAGTGCGGCGTTAAACAACAAACAAACCAACCAACCACTCTACCTGACACCCTGTGCATAACGGAATAATTTAGTTTCAACCTTGTTTAAGAATTTTGGCACCGAAAGAGATCAAGTCCAACGAAGGGCCGAAGTCCAAATCGAAGCTGAAACTCATCCTCACCGATATAACGCGGCACAGTCTCATGGGCAAGCCCATCAACCTTGGAAGAAAGGTTCTCCTCATTGCCTCCACTGATGGTGCGTGCCTTAAGTTAACAATATAGTGGTCCCAGGGCCTCGTTCCACGAAGCGATGTTAGAGCTACGACTATCAAATAAATGTACCGTTATAATCGTCTTACAGGATTCCTTTGGCAGCCAAATTGGCGGGAGGAGGGGAAATTGGGTTATTGTTCACGTTTTGATGTTTTTAATGTCCTTAGTTTCGTATACTCTGAGGATTCGGGAAATTTTACATTCAAACAGGGAAATTTTACTGTCATTTGTTGCCGACTAGGAGCCGAATAGCAAGTCTACATACATCCCTGGGCCCACTTGCACAAAGCGATCTTAGCGCTAAGATGATCGTAACACCCATTCTTTAACATAGACTTACAAATATGGCCAAAGTCAAAATAATTTCCGTCCGTCCGTCCGTCTGTCTGTCTGTTTATTTGTTTGCTTGCTTGTTGTTTCCGTGAAGATCCGGGGTAGAATAGGTCTTCCGCAACCCATGCTTGCCGTAAAAGGCGACTAACGAGATCGGGTGGTCAGGCTCGCTGACTTGGTTTGATGCATGTCATCGATCCCAATTGGGTGGATCGATACTCATGATATCAATCACTGGATTGTCTGGTCCAGACTCAATTATTTACAGACCGCCGTCGTATAGCTTGAATATTGCTGAGTGCGGCGTTAAACAACCATCCAACCAACCAATTGTTGTAGCACTAAGATCGCTTTGTGCAAGTGGGCCAAGGTCCTAGCGCTAAGACTGCTTTGTGGAACCTGTCCCAGGTGTGTGATGTAGTTACATCCCTTAGGAGTACGACCCTTGAAGATCCGGGTTAGAATGGGTCTTCTTCAGCAACCCATGCTTTTCGTAAAAGGCGACTGTGCTTGTAAGAGGTGACTGACGGGGACTTGTTTGATGCTTGTCGTCGTATCTCATTTGCGTGGCTCGATGTTCATGGTATCGATCACTGGATTGTCTGGTCCAGACTCGATTATTTACTGACCGCTTGAGTACGGCGTTAAAAAACCAAACAAACATAATCAAATCTTCTACTCCTATATACGATACCTCTGCATGAAGACCGTCAAATATCTGGCTATAGGGTATATACAATATAAACAGTAATGTTGCAGCCTTAATCATTTGTATTTGTAACTGGTCGTTTTAGTTCGTTTTCGACATACAGAAATCATATGTGCTGATTTCAATGCTTCGTACCCGTACCCGTACCCAGCCCCGTACCCAGACCCGTACCCGTACCCAGCCCCGTACCCGTACCCAGCCCCGTACCCGTACCCGTACCCGTACCCAGCCCCGTACCCGTACCCGTACCCGTACCCAGCCCCCGTACCCGTACCCGTACCCGTACCCAGCCCCCGTACCCGTACCCAGCCCCCGTACCCAGCCCCCGTACCCAGCCCCCGTACCCGTACCCAGCCCCCGTACCCGTACCCGTACCCAGCCCCCGTACCCAGCCCCCGTACCCAGCCCCCGTACCCAGCCCCCGTACCCAGCCCCCGTACCCCCGTACCCGTACCCAGCCCCCGTACCCAGCCCCCGTACCCAGCCCCCGTACCCAGCCCCCGTACCCAGCCCCCGTACCCGCACCCAGCCCCGCACCCAGCCCCGCACCCAGCCCCGCACCCAGCCTGGTTGATGAGAAGGTCGCCTGACGGAGTCGTTCTGAGTTTCACGCTGAAAGTTATTGTATCGGTGTAAAAGATCAGATTTTCGCGAGATTAATGGAGTATACATCATGTCTTTTCCATGTGTTTTTCCTTAGGTTCTACTGGAGAGAAGGGCATGCGAATAACGTCTTGTGACGCCGTCGGCACGAAGTCACGGTACCAAGTGATACGAGCTGGGTAAGGATGCTTCCAGGGCCAACCATTTCCTATTGAGACTGGCAATGGGATTTCTTTGAAAAGGGGGCGGTCGGGTAGCCTGGTGGTTAAAGCGTTCGATCGTCACTCGTCACGCCGAAGACCCGGGTTCGATTCCCGACATGGGTACAATGTGTGAAGACCATTTCTGGTGTCCCCCGCCGTGATATTGCTGGAATATTGCTAAAAGCGGCGTAAAACCATACTCACTCACTCTTTGAAAAGGTAGCATTTCCGGAAAGGACAGGGATAGGAATATGCCTCAGGTTGAACACGCAAAAACAATTTGGATATTCTAAAGAAAATGTTGTGAAAACAAATTCGAGTTCTCGGTTCTGAGAAATTCCCTTAAATTTGCTTGAAGCAGTAACCGAACATATATCCTGTAGCTTACAAAAATCCCACGTGTTCAAACCACCCCTGACCAGAATAAATGGCTCACCCCTTAGAATTCTTCTGTGTTACAACAGAAAGGGGAATATCGATGTTAGAAGGTATTCAGTAAAGTCTTCATTCCATGCTTGTCTCCCCCCGTCAAGATACGGGATAGAATAGGTCTTCAGCAACCAATGCTTGCCGTGAAAGGCGACTATTCTTGTCCGAACAGGCGGCAAACAGAACGGGTGGCCAGGCTCTGACTTAGCTGATACATGTCATCGTATCCCAATTGCGTGGATCGATGTTCATGTCAGTCACTGGATTGTCTGGTCCAGACTCGATTATTTACAGACCGCCGTAATATAGCTGGAATATTGCTGAATCTTGGATGCGATGATTAACCCCATTTTTATCCCCCGCCGGGCCAGAATGGCCGAAGGGGGATTATGTCGTGGCGAAGTCCGTCCGTCCGTCCGTCTGTCTGTCCGTCCCACAGAGGGTACTAAGCTTGTGAAATCAACTCCTACAGTTTCCAGAGAATATCCCTGACACTGTACACACAAGATGTCGACATGATGATGATACGCATATCGCAGTCCCGTTTCGTTTCGACTAATTTTGACAGTTACTGCCCCTGTTTTACGGAGCTTCATTTGACTCGTTAAAAAAATTCATGCGGGGGATGTTATGCTCTCAGAGCACTCATGTTTTCCAACCTTTGACCAGACCAGCATCAGCGTGGTGGATCGAGGAAGGATCCAAGGGGTGATAAACTGGTTTTTACTTCCAGGTGTGGCGACGGTCAGGTGTTCAACAAGACGCAGGGCTTCGTCACGACAGGGCTGACAGCCATGAGCCCATACTTTGACATGTTTCATCTCATGAATGACAAGTCAGTCACCTTTGACTGCAACTTTACCCTTTGTAACGCAAGTTGTGACGGGGTAGGTGTTGTGTATCATGTTGGTTCTTCTCAGTATATTCTACCCTGTTTTATAACCTAATGGGGCGGTCGCCTCCGTGTTCTAGTGGTAGAGCGTCCGCCCTGAGAGCGGAAGGTCCGGGGTTCGATCCCCGGCCGCGTCATACCAAAAGACGTTAAAAGATAGCACTTGTTGTTACCCTGTCTGGAGCTCGGCATTAAGGGGCTAAAACAAGGACTGGTCGGCTCGGAGTCAGTATACTGTGTCTGAGTAGGGTATTCATGTTAAACTGCGGCATGGTATCTCAATGAGCTAGCACTATAAATCCGGATCAGTCCGGGGCACTGTTCCACAAAGCGATCGTAGCACTAGGATGATCATAACTCCCATACTTTAACATAGACTTTCGACACTCATAGCGCTAAGATCGCTTTGTGGAACGGGAACCAGACTAGTACAAGCACGCACGCACGTGTCGCTATACAAGTGCAATAATCTTAGACGCGACGTTAAACCCGATTTCACCTCACCACCTACGGGGGCAAACATCGGGGTTTATAAAACTCATGTGCCCTAGTGTCATCACGTGATGAGACAACACTGTATTGTTTCCGTCATCCGGACGGCATTGTTGACGTCATGCGAATCTTATTGTGACGAGGTCGGAAAGACGTCACACTATAGTACTCACGGAAATGAAAAAAAACTGTTTTTTCGATCTCAGATTTTAAATGAATGCAGTTAATATACAAAATATATAAATGTTCAAACAACTCAATTAGTACTACCAGTAATTGGGCCTTGGCACAAATACAGCGTATCAAAGGTTTTTACGTCTTTGTACACGTAAAAGTGTGTAAAAATATGAACAAAACAGACAATAGTGAAACTGAGCATAACCAGGTGTTAGTAGATCAAGGTGAATGTCCATGACCTATGACACCTTGACGACAGGTGAAAACAGGTGCTTGAAACCCACGTGCTTGAAACCCACGTGCATGTGATTTGTCAGTGGTTAGTGATTTGTGAGTGGCATTGTGGGATAGTGAATCATCGTCAAAATATCAGAACGTAAAAGTAACATATTCCCTTCTCAAACAACAACTTACATGTCATTATTATTATGCACATAAACATAGCTGTTATTTTTATTGTTTTGATAACTTTTTTCCAGTCTAATTTGCATAATGCCTATAGCCTGTTTCTGCCATCTCAATTTGGACTTAGTTTTATTTTTGAATGTTGAAAGTCCCTACAAATTACCTCCTGTAAAGTACATTTTGTATTGAGGACTAACGGGATCGTGTGGTCAGGCTTGCTGACTTGGTTGATGCATGTCATCGATCCCAATTGCGTGGATCGATGCTCATGATGTCAATCACTGGATTGTCTTATCCAGACTCGATTACATACAGACCGCCGTCATATAGCTGGAATATTGCTGAGTGCGGCTTTAAATAACAAACAAACATCATGCCCAAAATATTATGCACTCACTGTTGAAGGCAACTTTGTTGAAGTATGTAATGAAGGACCACCCATTTCTTTCCTATTACTGACATGACGGATTAACTATGGTAATATGAAAGAGTCGGGTTGTTTCTAGTGGTATATTTGGGTATCAGTAGGTGATCGTGCGACGTTTTATATACCCGTGAAGTCTGGTAGATAATAGGTCTTCAGCAACCCATTCTTGTCGTAAAAGGCGACTTTGCTTGTAAGAGACTAATTGGATCAGGTGGTCAGGCTAGCTGGCTTTGTTGATTCATGTCATCGTATCCAAATTGCGTAGATCGATGCGCTGGATCGTCTGGTCCAGACTCGATTATTTACAGACCGCCGACATGTAGCTGGAATATTGCTGAATGCAGCGTAAACAACAAACAAACCTTCACATATTGTACCTTTTTGCTTCATTAACATCATCTATCATACCTATCAATGATATAATGCAATTGTCTGTGTGATACAGCCAACAGAAACAGTCATATCACAGGGGGTGAAATAACCAGGCTCTATCACATTACCTGCTGGGATGATCTGGCCTGTCTGTGCATTTTGAATGGGCGATCGATTTAATCCCGGGTTGAGAGTTACGTCCCTTAGTACTTCATCTGCCCGGCTTGCTCTCCCAAATGTATTTTTACAATTTGATGTTATGGTATATGATAAAAAAGGTAATCGTATGGCAGGTTTCTTTTTTATATCGAGCACTATATGTAGGTGATACGCTTTGGCCATTGACACATAATCCAGTACACTGTCTTGAATGGTTTATTTTATAACTTCAGCATAGATTGATGAATACATTCTTGGTTCAGTTTTGAAATATTGACTGATATTTTGTATTATGTCTTTCCTTCCAATTCTTTTACTGGCCTTTTAATTGTAAGGCCTATTGTTGACAGGTACAGGCTATAATAAAAACAAATGGGAAATATTACCACTTGTAACTAAGGTAGTTAGTACACGTTATTACCAACATTATTTTCCGGATTTTAAACGAAACATCTGTGATACACACTTCAACCTTTTCAACATGCAGTTTACCCTTTTACACCATTTACATTTGTTATAGCATTGCTAGTTATGATTTACATGTTCCTTATATATTTTGTTAATACTTACAAATTTTATGGGCCCTTTACACCCTACACAAGTTCATGTCATATTCTGCTTACATCCACGTGCTTGTCCATGCACTGAATAAAACCCGGATGATTAACCAGGACAAACCAAAGAAAGTAAAGAACTTAAATGAAGCTCTCATAAAAGAACTAAAGTGACATCCTCACAAGTGGTAGCCTACACTATATCAACCCAATACCCCTATATCATCCTGATTCCCTTTGTCAAACGTGTGGCCTTTGACTTAGTTTTACTTGTTAAGTGAAACGAAACGATAACTGAAAAATGGGCAGTGGGGTAGCCTAGTGGTTAAAGCGTTAGCTTGTCACGCCGAACCCGGGTTCGATTCCCGACATGGGTACAATGTGTGAAGCCCGTTTCTGGTGTCCCCCGCCATGATATTGCTGGAATATTGCTAAATGTGGCGGCGTAAAACCCAACTTCCTTACACACAGAATTGGCATTGAAAGACGTGACTTAAACGACGGTGTGAAACTACCACAACCTATCTCTACGTCGACCATTGGCATTCTCCATTCGGAACTGCCCGTCTAATGTAATGGTGTCTTTTCAGAGTTCCTGTGCGAATGAAAGACGTCGAAGAGCCTCAGACTTCGGTAAGCTGATACAGTTAACGTTGTTCGCAGTCAGCATGATTTCAGTTGTCATGGTGATCTGTAAATTACCGATTCCAGGAGTCGAATCAGTGGCCCATATCTGGTGTTGGTATTGTACTTTTCACAAGAAGTTGAACTGTTTTTTTCCATATAACTATAGTAATCTGTCATGACTAGTGGGTATTCAACACAGTCCAAATGTGGGAGTTCAACGTGTTTTGAGTGGTGTATTTTAACTGCCGCATGGTATATGCCGCGTGGAATGCACCTCGCTATATGAGCGTAATTGTCCTAAAGGCGACATTAAATCCCATTTCTCTTCACTTCCATCCTGGGGCGAAGACCCGGGTTCGATTCCCGACATGGGTACAATGTGTGAAGCCCATTTCTGGTGTCCCCCGCCGAGATATTGCTCGAATATTGCTAAAAGCGGCGTAAAACCATACTCACTCCCATCCATTCTACTGAACCCACCAGCCATGAAAATTTAACTTCAGTCAAATAAAAGAATCGTGTTCTTTAACTTTTGAGAAATATATCGTCAGGGTACGATGACAGTCAATTGACCAACCGACCCATTTAGCCAGAAGGAGTGGTTGTGTAGTTTATAAAGTATTGTACCTAAAATGGATAGAATTAGAAGATAAATACTATGTGTGTGTCTATTTCCGGGATTTTATCGAGTATTTGCATCTTGGAAATTCATCTCGAGACCCGAAAGCGTTAGCTTGAGGGGCTCGAATGAAAATTTCCAAGATGCAAATACTCGATAAAATCCCGGAAATAGACACACACATAGTATTTATCGATATCGTAAACCTATTGTTTTATTTAGAAAAAAACATGCGCACTCTTTAACACCTCGTACTTACTCGGTTGTGAGGCGTCAACATCGAACGTTCTGTCGCTGCTATGGTGATTGTGATTTTGGTAATAACGTACACCGGTAATGAGACGCAAATACCATCACGTATATTTCAGCTGCGATACCTACATCCTTGAATTCCTCATACATTTTAGAATCAAATGCCAAATGGTCTTTGTCACCAATACAAATTGTCGATGTAATGAAGCAAAATAAATGAGGTGTCAAAACGAACGCTGAAAAAACTGCACTTGTTGGAAATGTAAACAAAGCCATTCGTCTATTCGTTGAGTACATTGGCTCGAGATCTGCATTTTCAGAATATACACGGGAAGAGAATCGTAGGAAGAATTAGGGAATTAAACATATATACATTGCAATAATTTGATATTTTCAACAGAACTTGTCGAAGTTCCCGTCCTGTGTGACGCTATGACTGACGCAAAATCACGCACAACGACAACGGTATTTATAAGAATTTCTGACTATTTTCGTTGGTTTCAATGAAAAATACAACAACAAAAAACAGTACACAGATTGTCAGAATGTATCTGATTACTTACATGTCACATTTATGTATATACGAACCCTGAATCAACGAAAGTCCCCTCGTAAAATCCCGCGCACTGTTGACAGTCAACACGCCATTTTGTAAAATTCGGTCACCGGTAGTGATATCAAACTTCAACATATTTGTTGTACACATTTGGTAATTTCTCTGAGGTGAAGGTCCTTGAATGAAAGTACACACGATCATTGTTAACTGCTTTTTACTGTTTCATGATGTAGATCTTGCATATCTTTTGTACATTTTTTTTCACACAATTAATTTCACTTTGGATATTAATCAATGTTCAATATGATATGATATACGTAGATATAGGCCGCAACATATATGAACGTTTGATAATCTCCTGTTTGTTTGAACAATGTTCACATATGAAGTTGATAAGTTTATATAGTGTCGTATACGATATTTCTTTAATTTGAACACGTGTACATGTGACAGGTACATTTACATTTCATCTTGTATGTATTTCTAGGGAGTGTAATAGTCAGTATTATAAGTTAATATAAATAGTGTCCATGAATAGCCGTTCCATTTTATTTTATAACTAAAACTGACGATATAACTTAACCAAAATCGATATTATTTTTCACATTTCTTGAAGAATTGGCTTGGTCTTGGATTTTTTTTATGCCGTTTGATATACAGAACAGTGATATCTCAGGATTCGCCAGGAGCGCGTTTGTCGCTATGGTGATTGTGATTTTGGTAATTATTTCATTGTAAATTTGTTTAATTAAAAATTAAAAATCCCAATAATTCCCATGAATAGAGAAAATCAAAATATGTGTAATGAATTTTGTATTTCAATTTGCGTCCATTGTTAATTAGTATGCAAAAAATGCTGAGTAATTATGTATTCCTACAGTGATTCGGTCGCTTGCTTCAGGGAATTCAAATCATATTTTCACCCTCTGACATTTGGTCATGTGACCCAAATTAGCCAATCACTACACAGAACACACTTTCTATAGGTTTACAATTATCATTAAAACGCCCGCAGGTTATCAGAAATGAGCGGGCCACTGTAACTTGATAATGCCTTCATATTGCTTGACGACGGGCCATTATCACGCCCGTCGTTAGGTGACGTCATAGGATAGGTGACGTCACGTTCAATAGTGACGCCATCTGGTTTGTTCTATGGCGTTTCCATATTTGTAAAGGTAGGTCAGTGACATTCGTGTTGATTCGTGTAAATGTTTGAAAACCGATATTGTTGATTCTTTTTATTTGATGACATATTCCATCCATTTTAGCTATAATAACGGTAACACTATTTTTTCAGGGCATTATCATTTGCAAAAGGCCTCGGTCTTTTCAACTGCCCTCCTTCGTCAGGCAGTTATGGAAGACCCCGGGCTTCTGCAAATGATAATGCCCTGAGAAATAGCATTACCCTTGTCACCAATATCAAATTATAGAAGTGTTCTCGCGCAGGCCACTGGATCAGTTCCATTTAACCACTGTTCCCGAACCTGTTTTTAGTTTCACTAAAAATTCTTCTAACGTAACCCGTGAAGGTCCGGAGCGGAACAGGTCTTCCGCAACCCATGCTTGTCGTAATAGGCGACTAACGGGATCGGTTGATCAGGCTCGCTGACTTGGTTGATGCATGTCATCGTATCACAATTGCGTGGATCGATGCTCATGATGTCAATCACTAGTTTGCATGGTCCCACCCCACCCCACCACACCCCACCTCACCCCACCTCACCAAACCAAATCAGCCTCAAGAATCAGGAGACCCGTGAAGATCCGGGATAGAATAGTTCTTCAGCAACCCATGCTTGCCGCTAAGGAGACTATGCTTGTCGTAAGAGGCGACTAACGGGATCGGGTGGTCAGGCTCGCTGATTTGGTTGATGCATGTGATCGATCCCAATTGGGTGGATCGATGCTCATGTCAATCACTGGACTGTCGATTATTTACAGACCGCCGTCATATAGCTTGAATATTGCTGAGTGCGGCGTTAAACAACAAACACTTCAATAACGTAAACAATCGAATGTTGCGGTAATGTATTTAGAAACAAAGTGGACCCTGTATGAACGGTTGACTCGAGCAAGTCTAAAAACCAAACCGATTATCACAAGCCTTCTGTAGCAATGTTCCAACTTTGTAACGACATCCTGTAAATATTCGTGTGAACCAGACGGACCAATGATTGATATTGTGAACCAGATGGACCAATGATTGATATTGTGAACCAGACGGACCAACGATTGATAATGTTAACCAGACGGACCAATGATTGATAATATTAACCAGACGGACCAATGATTGATATTGTGAACCAGACGGACCATTGATTGATAATGTTAACCAGACGGACCAATGATTGATAATATTAACCAGACGGACCAATGATTGATATTGTGAACCAGACGGACCAATGATTGAAATTGTGAACCAGACGGACCAATGATTGATATTGTGAACAAAGATCCACTCCTTTTGGTGGCCCAGTTGTCTAAGGCCCCACAATTCCCTGTGCAGAATTGCGTCACTTGGAGACGCCAGAATTTAAAGATCGTGATTCCGATTTCGCCTCTTGTATTTTTCTGGGTTTGTTATCAACATACAAGTCCTCGCGGGTTTCACCAAACTGGTAAACGTCCGAGACTTCGGGATTTCCTCCCACATTAAACTGACACAACGTGATATAACAGGAATACTGTTCAAAGCGGCGTTAAACCCAACCTACCCACTCGCGTAATCGACCAATCACTGAGCCTGACGCCATTAAATCGTCTTTCACAAGCACAGACTTGTCATCGTATCCAGATTGCATAGATCGATGCTCATTATATCAATCAGTGGATTGTCTGATCCAGATTCGATTATTTACAGACCGATGTCATATAGCTGGAATATTGCTGAGTGCGGCGTTAAACAACAAACAAGAATTACTTGCTGTGAACCAATTCTAACCAGGAAAGCTCACGGGGTTGGTTGAAACCGGTTTCTCCTGTCAAATGGACGCATGCAGTTGTCCTTTTCCGGGGGGAACTGTTCCCCCAATCAACGAGAGATTGGCAGGTACTGTTGAAGAGTATTCTACGAATTATTCCTTGCTCGTGAATAGAAAACATCTGTTTCAGTTGCACCCGACACGCAGAAGCCTCTCTTAATCAACTTGGCTCCAGCCCAGTCTAAAAACAGGTGTGTTGAATAAGTTTCATATTTCCCTAGATGTTTTCCATAGAGTATACATCTACCAACGGAAGGATATGAAAGGCATAAATCCTGTAATGTCGGGGTTGAATGTGAAACTAGGTGAAAATAGATATGGCTGTTTTTTTTGTTTGGGTTTTGTTTTGTTTGGGGGGTTTTTTTTTGGGGGGGGGGGGGGGGGGGGTTTAGGGGTTGGGTGAGGGGATGGGTGAGGGGATGTTAGCAATGAATTTGCCGCCCGCCCTATCCGAAACTCAGAATATGATATTCTGTCTTCATCTGCCATTCCACAAGCAACCACACTTCAGTCCACCTCAGTGGCATTTCTTTAGGGGTTTAACGTTTTCTCATTCTGGAGATAATTGCCACGGTTTTACATTAAAGCCCCTACATCCAAATGTGACATGAGGTATAGGTGTTTGTGACCTTTGTCACTTTGTTCTCAGGAATGTTGGCCTTTTGCTTAAAGCGTTGCGAATCCTCATGCACCTACAATGTATGAAAACAATTTCTAGTGAGCTGTCACCCAATGTGCTGGAGACTCGTGAAGATTCGGGGTCTTCAGCAAACCCATGCTTGCCGTAAAAGGCACTATGCTTGTCGTAAGAGGCGACTAACGGGATCGGGTGGTCAAGCTCGCTGACTTAGTTGATGCATGTCATCGATCCCAATTGCGTGGATCGATGCTCGTGATATCAATCACTTGTCTGGTCCAGACTCGATTATTTACAGACCGCCGTCATATAGCTGGAATATTGCTGAGTGCGGCGTAAAACAAACAAACAAACAAACAAACCCAATGTTCTGGAATGGTGCTGCAGGCGGTGTATCCCTCCCTCACCCACTCTCGCTTTCAGGTTACAAAGATCGGCCCATGAAGTGGAGCATGTGAAGCTGTTTTTGACCAACGTGGCCGGCTTTCAGCTTCATAACGTCAGTCTGCAAAGGGGAAGGCCGTATGTGCTCCACGCCACTACTGACGGTAAGTTCAGGGTGACCCGGAAGTAACCCTAACCTTATCCCTGCTACAGCCATCTTGGTGGGCAGGCTTTAGTTTGTGTGTGTGATCATGAGAACTTTTAACATTTTTTTTTAACATTTAAAAAAAAAATATAATATAATCAAAGTGAATATCAGGAATGTTGGCCTTGGGGAATAAAACCATTTTTTGGACCGTTTTATTTTTGCCATAAAGACTTCTACGTGATATACAATATCATATCATGCCCCTGCTGACTGGCCACCTTGAGTACTGTTCTTTTTGTTCTTGTGTAGACACTGCATATGTGTAAACATTCTTAAAACATTTTACAAAAATGACAATTTGAAATATATGGTTTCGTATCCATCTTTCCCTATTCTTATTACTGAAAGATTGAAGGATCTTAAAAAATGCCATACATTTTTAACTGGACTTTGAACAAATGCTTTGAAAAAAATATCCCTAAACCAACTGATAACAAAAAGACACCGGTATTCCCTGCCTGTGCAAGAGACCAAATTGATCGACAGGTCGGCTGCGACTTGGTCGACTGCGTGTCGTCATACCTTGATGGCGTCATACCTGGATGGCGAGGCACGTTCATCATGCTAATAACCATCTGTTTTTCTGGTCTACACTGAATAAACTGCAAGTGATCCATGGTATTTTATTTCCATAAACCGAGAAAGATAGGCCACGCCCTCGAAAGTACTTTTTTATTGGTTGATACTAAATTGGGCGGGGCTTGTATTGCATAATGGCGCTAAATGATGCTGGTTTTGTATTGTCTACAGTTTATTTTGTGCTGATGATTATTGTGAATGATTGTAGACGTGTGTATTTATAATGAAGTGACTTCAACTTTTTGTCGAACGTACGGTTGTCTGGAAATAAAAGCTTGGCCCCTGCGTATGCCTTCATTTTCGGTTGTGTCGAACCTGGATAAGGCGAAGTATTTACGTAGGTCATTCATCTTCGACACAACGACATGCATCACTTCGGGCTTTCCTCCCACATTAAGCTGACACGCCGTGATATGACTGGAATACTGTTAAAAGCGGCGTTAAACCCAACTCACTCACTGACCTAAAAGAACAAACTATTTCAGGAAAGAAAGGCGAGGTGGGGCTACAGGTGATGCATTGTGACATTGTCACCACGAAAACTCAACACAATCGACGAATGGCGGCCATTAGAGATGGGTACGTATAATTCTGACACGTTCCATTGTCACTGGAGCTCGATCCCCGCGTTCGATCCCCAGCCGCCTCATACCAACAGACGTTAAAGACGGTATTTGTTATTACTGTCTGGGGCTGGGAATTAATGGGCAGAAACAAGGACTGGTGTCAGTATACTGTCTCTGAGTGGGGTATTTAAGTACTGTGGGGTGGTATCTCAGTGCATAAGTGCAATAATCTTGGACGCGACGTTAAACCCCATTTTACCTCCCTTCCTTCCATGTTAAAGAGGGGCAGTCGGGTAGCCTAGTGGTTTAAGCATTCGCTCGTCACGCCTAAGACCCGGGTTCGATTTCCGACATGGGTACAATGTGTGAAGCCCATTTCTGGTGTCCACCGCCGTGATATTGCTGGAATATTGCTAAAAGCGGCGTAAAACCATACTCACTCACCATGTTAAAGAGGATAGGACCCCTGAGATATTGCTCACATGGACATTAAACTCACTGACGGTTTGGGCAGCTTTGTTGTTGAAGCTTCGCTCGTCACGCCAAATGCCCTGGTTTGATTCCCCACATGGTTTCTGTGTGGAATATTGCTTAAAGCTGCGTAAACCCAAACTCGCTCACTGGAAAGCCTTTTTTCAATCCGTAAATTTCCGGGTTAGAATTGCTCTTCAGCAACCCATGCTTGTCGTAACCGGCGACCGTGCTTGTCGTAACCGGCGACCGTGCTTGTCGTAACCGGCGACCGTGCTTGTCGTAACCGGCGACCGTGCTTGTCGTAACAGGCGACCAAGGGGATCGGGTGGTGAGGCTCGCTGACTTGGTTCATGAATGTCATCGTATCCCAATTGCGTGGATCGATGCTCATGATGTCAATCACTGGATTGTCTGGTCCAGACTGGATTATTTACAGAACGCCTTCATATAGCTGGAATATTGCCGAGTGCGGCGTTAAACAACAAACAAACAAACCAATAAGCACATGAGGCATGGGCGTTGGTTTACTTTCTGAGTTTTAAGTAACATTTGTTTGCATTCTTTTACTGATAAATACAAATTTCAATGGAAGTTTCACAAAGGGTAAAGCATGTCATATTTATTTTATGGTGGTTTGAAATGAAATGACGTTTGTGATTATCTGCCCTTGGGCAGAGGTGAAGGTGAAAGAGAATTGTCTGTGGTGTCAAGAAATAGTTCACAAGAATAATTATAGTAGAAGGCAGGTCACACATCGCAACACTAAAAAGTCGTCACATCGTCTACTCCGTTATCCTTCAAGGTGCGGGGTGGAGCCAGTTTTCCGACCTGACAAGGGTTTCATCACTCACGGTTTGACGGCCACAAGCCCTTATTTCAAGGGCTTCGAAATCAGAGGAGACAACAGTCTGGCCTTCCAGTGTAACGTTATTCTTTGTCATCAGAACTGCGATGGGGTACGTATTTACAAGTTGTCGTTAACCAGAGGGGGTACGTATATACAAGTTGTCGTTGACCAGAGGGGGTACGTCTATACAAGTTGTCGTTGACCAGAGGGGGTACGTCTATACAAGTTGTCGTTGACCAGAGGGGGTACGTCTATACAAGTTGTCGTTGACCTGAGGGGGTAGGTATTTACAATTTGTCGTTGACCAGAGGGGGTACGTATATACAAGTTGTCGTTGACCTGAGGGGATACGTATTTACAAGTTGTCGTTGACCAGAGGGGGTAGGTATTTACAAGTTGTCGTTGACCTGAGGGGATACGTATATACAAGTTGTCGTTGACCAGAGGGGGTAAGTCAATACAAGTTGTCGTTGACCAGAGGGGGTACGTATCTACAAGTTGTCGTTGACCTGAGGAGATACGTATTTACAAGTTGTCGTTGACCAGACGGGGTACGTATTTACAAGTTGTCGTTAACCAGAGGGGATACGTATTTACAAGTTGTCGTTAACCAGAGGGGATACGTATTTACAAGTTGTCGTTAACCAGATGGGTGACGGGTAAGGTGCCACCATTCGCTATGCAGAGTTACGTCCCTTGGGCTTGCCAGAAACCTATGATCGTAGGTTCAATTCCTGGTCCGCTCGATGATGTGTCTAGGTCAGTCAGCACCATACTCGTGCTTGTGGGTTTCGCCAAAGTGGTAGACGTCTCAGACTTCGGGCTTTCCTACCACATTAAGCCGACAACGCCGTGATATAACTGGAATGCTGTTCAAAGCGGCGTTGAACCTAACCCACTACCTTGTTGGCCTGAATGATACGGCGAACAAGATGTCTCTTAAAGTGGATTTAAAGCGTATTTGTCGTTGCCCAGTCGTCCAAGGGCCCGTAATTTGCTGTGCACATTTAAGTCCGTGGCATGTCAGAAATCGTTTGAGCTTTTGTTCGAATCAGGATTGTCTTAATCGGTTGTTTCTTGGTATGTAAGCGCCTTGCCCAACATGATCGTAGGTTTTACCAGTGGACAAGGTCTTAAACCTTCCCCATCACAACTGTAAGTATGTTCAAAGCTATGTTTAAACTGAACTCTCATTTACCTCAAGCCTCCCTTCTTAGGTCGCCCGACCGCCTCCGTGGTCCTGTGGTAGAGCGTCCGCCCGGAGAGCGGAAGGTCCGGGGTTCGATCCCCGGCCGCGTCATACCAAAAGACGTTAAAAGATGGTACTTGTTGTTACCCTGTCTGGCGCTCGGCATTAAGGGTCTAAAACAAGGACTGGTCGGCTCGGAGTCAGTATACTGTGTCTGAGTGGGGTATTCATGTTAAACTGCGGCGTGGTATCTCAGTGAGCTAGCACTATAAATCGGCATTAGTCCGGACTAGAACAAGTAGCCACACAAACACATACTCGTACATGCACGTCGCTATATAAGTGCAATAATCTTGGACGCGACGTTAAACCCAATTTCACCTCACCTCACCTCTTAGGTCGCCCACTTTCAGGCCACCTGGCCTTGTTAACACTTCGGTCGACACCATGGCGTAGGTTTATGCAAGGAAAGGTAACTGTTCCTTTAAATTAAGGACAATGTTCACATGAAGGTGAAGAGCCGAAGGTCATGGGTTCGATCCCCTGCCGCGTCATACCAAAAGATGTTACAAGATGTTTCAAGATGGTTCTTCTTGTTTCCCTGACCTTTTCTGGGCATTATGGGGTTAAACAAGGACAGGTCGGTTCGGAGTCAGTATACTGTGTGGGAGTGGGGTATTCGTGTTAAACTGCGGCATGGTATCTCGGTGGGCTAGCTTTAAAATCGGCATTCGTCCGGACCAGCGCACGCACGGGCATCCACGTCGCTACACAAGTGTGATAATTTGAACGCGACGTTAAACCCATTTCACCTCAGATCACCTCACTTACATCCTACGAAAACTGCATTCTCCCTGGACAATTTGTGAAGCCTGATCTGATTAACCTAATTAATTAATTCTGATTAACCAAGTTGTATATTTTCAGCGCACCTGTCTCCACGAAAGACCGAAACGTGATCTCGAAAAACAAGGTAAAAGATGTTTGTAACGGTACAGCCACTGCGGCCAGGATTTTGTATGGAAACCATGCTGAGCATACATATTTTGCAACAATGAAATTTTTGTGCAAGACTATCTTTTGTCTTATCACCAGTATGAAGCATAGTTGCTAATTTCAAGCATTTGGGGGACATAACCCCAGAACACACACACACACACACACACACACACACACACACACACACACACACACACACCCCAGAACACACACCCACACCCCACCCCACCCCACCCCACACCCACACCCCACCCCACCCCACCCCACACCCCCACCCCCACCCACCCTACCTTCAGCACGTGTTCAGCAGCCCATGCTTGCTGTAAATGGCCTAAATGCTTGCCGTAAATGGCCAAGATGCTTGCCGTAAATGGCCACTATGCGGGTTGACTTGATTGATGCATGTCACTTACAGACCGCAATGTTATAACAGGTATGGTATTGGCATCAAACATTCCCTAACTCTTTTACTCTTCTGTTCCAGGACCATTCCTTGAGTCCGGCAATGTCCAATCCGCTTCTTTTGTCGTCAACTCTCGGGTCAAGAGGTCATGGTGGCTGAAAGATATGCTTGGAGCTGCCAGGAACAGAAATTTGTAATGTGAATTAGTAAACATCCAACTTCCCGCATGATTGTGTTTTTTTGTGCCAAACTGTTGCGGTAATGCGGTACGTGGACTGTCCGCGGAGACCCGTTAGAACAGGTCAGGACCAATTGCTGGTCACAAGGAGATTGATCGGGTACCACACCAATATCACAAGCCTTAAGGGGCTCTCACACTTTGCCGGGGGCGGTCGGGTAGCCTAGTGGTTAAAGCGTTCGCTCGTCACGCCGAAGACCCGGGTTCGATTCCCGACATGGGTACAATGTGTGAAGCCCATTTCTGGTGTCCCCCGCCGTGATATTGCTGGAATATTGCTAAAAGCGGCGTAAAACCTTACTCAAACACTCACTTTGCCGAGTTGCGTCCCGAGTATGGACCCGAGCTGACTCGGGGGTACTCGTATGGAGCTCGTAGCGAGGTCGTACTTAACTCGGGGGTGCTCGTATGGAGCTCGTAGCGAGGTCGTACTTAACTCGGGGGTGCTCGTATGGAGCTCGTAGCGAGGTCGTACTTAACTCGGGGTGACTCGGGATACCTCGTACTGATCTGCGAGAGTTTTGGAACTGCTCAAAACAGTCGGGTCGCCAGCCAACTCCTAGCAAACTCGTAACACACTCGTCCTACTCGTAGCGACCTCCTGGTGCTCGTACTGAACTCGTATGAGGATCGTCTGCAAAATTTATTGCCGAGTTGACCGAGTCTAATACGAGCTATACGAGTGTAATTCCCGCCGAATTATTTAGCAGCTCGTAGCCACCTCGTACCAAAGTCGTACAGCTCGTATCGAGATCGTTGGGTTCCTATGCAACTCTCAATAGACTCCTATTGGACTCGTAACACACTCGTAGCGTACTCGTATGATAATCGTATATATGTAGTCTCTTCCCGAGTCCTTACCGAGTTAGGCTCGGGAGAACTCGGCAACCACCTCGGCAAAGTGAGCTGCTTTATGCTCCAATCGCATGAACGACTAAACATTGCTTTTACTCTCTGAGATTGCCTCCCTTGTCTTGTTGATGGAGGGTCCACCCGGAGAGCGGAATATCTGTGGTTCCGTCCCTTCTCCGCGTCATACCGAAAGAGGTTAAAATAAGGTCTGTTGTTACCCTGTTACGCTTTGCATTATTGGGATAGACTGGTCGGCTCCGAGTCGATGTACTGTGTCTGAGTGGGGTATCCATGTTAAACTGTGGCATGGTATCCCCGTGGGCAAGCTCCCTTTGAAGATGGGGTTAGAATCGATCTTCAGCAACACATGCTTGCCGTAACAGGCGTCTAACCGTGTCCTTCCGACAGGCTCGCTGACTTGGTTAATGCATGTCATCGAATCCCAATTGCCCATGTTGTCAATCACTGGATTGTCTGGTCCATACTCGATTATTTACTTACCTCCGTGACCGCCTCCGTGGTCTTGTGGTAGAGCATCCACCCGGAGAGCGGAAGGTCCGGGGTTCGATCCCCGACCGCGTCATACCAATAGACGTTAAAAGATGGTACTTGTTGTTACCCTGTCTGGCGCTCGGCATTAAGGGGCTAAAACTAGGACTGGTCGGCTCGGAGTCAGTATACTGTGTCTGAGTGGGGTATTCATGTTAAACTGCGGCATGGTATCTCAGTGAGCTAGCACTATAAATCGGCATCAGTCCGCACTAGTACAAGCAGCCACACAAACACACACACGTACATGCACGTCGCTATATAAGTGCAATAATCTTGGACGCGACGTTAAACCCCGTTTCACCTCACTTACCTCCGCCATATAGCTGGAATATTGCTGTCAGCACCATACCTGTGCTCGTGGGTTTCACCGAAGTGGTAAACGTCTGAGACCTGCATCACTTCGGGCTTTCCTCCCACATTAAGCTGACACGCCGCGATATAACTTGAATACTGTACCAACTTATACCAACTGTAACATGGAAGTTTAATTTAGGAAAAGAGTACTTTTCTTTTACCAGGTATAAAACTTTCATCTGGAAACTGCAATTGAGAACCGACTCGGAATGTTCCGCTCACCATGAACAAACATTTTGCAAAACCAAATCGGAGGATCATGCATAATGCCTTAGCCTGAACTAGAAACTAGGGAAAGAACGGTATGCTTCGCAATCTTGACATAATCTAGCCATCTGGCACACAGGCAACACGTTTACATACAGATACCTGCTGTAAATTTGGCACCTAAACATCTTCTTCCGGACAGTCGCAAGTCTCTCCTCTCCTCTCCTCTCCTCTCCTCTCAAAAAAATAAATTACTCCGGTTAGTCGCCTCTGTTTTAAAAAAAAATGTTGAAATAAATAAGACGCGGTATCAAGCAGTGCATTATTTGTTCCGCGGTTATGAGTGGAATATTGTCCACCACTTTGTACACCAACCTACATAACAGACTGAAGAAAAAACTTCATGTTTAATCCATGGGGCATTTGTCACTAAACGTGGTCACCATAGATATAGTCACATCACTACATTCCGAGGTTCAGGACAATTTGTGTAAACCGAGAGCTAATGTTATCTGAAGGTTACTGAGAAAACAAAAATAATGTGAAATGCTGGACTTACTAATTGATGTCATCTATGTGATTTTGTTTGTTTCTTTCTTTTTGTTTAACGCCGGACCAGACAATCCTGTGATTGACATCATGAGCATCGATCCACGCAATTAGGATACCATTACATGCATCAACCAAGTCAGCGAGCCTGACTACCCGATCCTGTTAGTCGCTTCTTCGGACAAGACATGGGCAACAAGCATGGGTTGCTGAAGACATATTCTAACCCGGATCTTCACGGGTCACATCTATACGAAGTTTGGGGGTTAAGATATCTGGGCAAGAAGCAGGCATGGCCGGAGGCAACATTTGTCCTGGAAGAGTCGGTATGTTATGCCATGGCTTGTTTGTACGCAAGTCAGACCCACTCTGGAGTGAGTGAGTGAGTTAGGTTTAACGCCGCTTTTAACAGTATTCCAGTTATATCGCGGGACCCACTCTGGAAAACGAACACACTATATACCACACCGTACAAGAGAAACTGCCAGAGTCTACCCCAATACACTCACTCGTCAATTTAAAGTATTTCCTAAGTTCTTAAAGAAAGTTTCTTGGGTGTTCTTGCCTTCCGATGAAGTCGATGCCACAATCATCAAAGAAACAAGGGACACAGTTGGCAGTCGTGAACACATCGTGCCCGACGTTTTCCGTTGACTGCTGCGACCACATCGTGCCCGACGTTTTCCGTTGACTGCTGCGACCACATCGTGCCCGACGTTTTCCGTTGACTGCTGCGACCACATCGTGCCCGACGTTTTCCGTTGACTGCTGCACCGTCAGCTGATGGGACACACTTCGAAAATCAATAGAATATATCAACAAGAACATGAAATACGACCTGGGTGCGGTTATACAAAGGGGACACGGGTGGCCCAGTCTGATGCGCCGCGATTTGCTGTGCAGAGTTGCGTCCCTTGGGCACGCCAAAAACCTATGATTGTGGGTTCGAATCCCGGTTCTCCCAGATTATGTTTCTAGGTTTGTCAGCACAATACCCGTGCTCGTGGATTTCACCGAAGTGGTAAATGTCTGAGGCAGGCATCACTTCGGGCTTTCTTCCCACATTAAGCTGACACGCCGCGATATAACTGGAATATTGTTAAAAGCGGCGTTAAACCCAACTCACGCACTCTCTGTTGTACAAAATAACCTTAGTGCTACGACTGTCGTGAGTCTGGTAAGGTATGGGAGTTACGATCACCTTTGCGCTAAGATCGCTTTGTACAACGGCACCCTCGTGCTGTAGTGAAACCACAAATGTTTTTTTCACAAAGAATGCATGGGTATTATATCTGTCTATTGTGAGTCATGTTGTCTGACCCCTCGTTAAGATTCGGGTTTGAATAGGTCTTCAGCATCCGTGCTGGTCGTAAAAGGCGACTAACGGGATCAGGTGGTCAGGCTTACTTGGTTGATGCATGGCATCGTATCCCAATGGCGTAGATCTATGCTTCTAAAGTCAATCACTCTATTGTCTGGTCCAGACTCGACTATTTACAGACCGCCATCATACAGCTTGAGTATTTCAAAGTGGGGCGTTAAACAATAAACAAACATTACATATGGGGTACATTCCACATATGCTATTACATCGCCGCCAGAGTGAGTGAGTGAGTGAGTATAGATTTATCCCCGCAATATCACGACAGGGGAAACCAGAAAGTGAAAATAATTAATTCGAGTTAAAGATTTGTTGAAATATTAGAAAAAGCTTCCTGAAATCCTCAATATGAGCCTTACCCTTACATTACATTAGTTGAATAAACACCAACTGTCCTTCCTATCAACGCATCTGGGAACATTCTTGAACGTTTGATTTATTTCCCAAAGGGGACGACCCGTGAAGATTCCGGGGTAGAATAGTTCCTAAGCAACCCATGCTTGCTGTGAAAGGCGACTATGCTTGTAAAAGGCGACTAACGGGATCGGGTGGTCAGGCTCGCTGACTTGGCTGATGCATGTCATCGATCCCAATTGCGTGGATCGATGCTCATGATATCAATCACTGGATTGTCTGAACCAAACCAAAACCCAAAGAGCCTTATCATACTACTACTACTACTACTACTGACCGCCTCCGTGGTCTAGTGGTAGAGTGTCCGCCCGGAGAGCGGAAGGTCCGGGGCTCGATCCCGGCAGCGTCATACCAAAAGACGTTAAAAGATGGTACTTGTTGTTACCCTGTCTGGCGCTCGGCATTAAGGGGCTAAAAAAAGGACTGGTCGGCTCGGAGTCAGTATACTTGTTTGCAGTCCATGGTAAACCATGGTTTACGGATATGTGGAACCGTAGAGGACTTTGGGATACATTCATCAGCAAAAACCTGAATAGGATCATTTAGAAATAATTCGGGTTTTAGTCTTTCAGTGCATAATGTTTGAAACAAAGACCAGTTTGATTTTGTAAAATTCCATCTTATAGAAGGAGGAACATCAGTCGGATTAGAACAGTTGGAAAATGGTCACTTCCACAAAG